GCATTTACTTAGATAGGTGAAATCCTTAAAAATGTGTTGCATATATATATTTTAGGAATTAATCACACATTATTTTACTTCGTAATTACACACTAAGAAATGATTAACCACTTAAACGTAATTTTTACCGAACTTTCAACAGCTGCACTGATCGGTAAAAATCAGGTAATTTTAATTCATTAGATATAAGGCTTCAAAAAAAGGAAAACTTCACCACAATGGCAAGACTCGATTTTTTAAACAAGGTTAACACTGTTTAGAAACTTTGACTGTTTTTTTTTTTTTTTTTTTTTTTTATTAGTATTACTTCTACGTGAAGTCAACGATTTACATAGTTGAAGATGCTAATTTCAAATAACAGACTGTAGTGGTAATTTTTATACGATAGATGGAGTAGATGAAAGCATAGAGTTGATAGTTCCGTTAGAGTACGGCAGTGTGAAGATTGCATATAGATATTAGAATAGAGAGCTTAGGACAACTTTTAAGGAAGGTACAAATCGGAAATTGCAACATATCGTGGTAGGGGTAAACAATAGTTGCAATTTCCAAACCTACGACTGGATGCCTTCCTTCGAATAACAATTGAAGTGCGGTAAAAAATCGGTAGAACTGTTTCAAACACACAGTTGGTACTTGAGCGGGTCGGTCTTCATCTCTTTTTGCCAGTGGTGGCGGGGGGGACACCCCTCACCATCCCTCTCCAAAGGGGGAGTTTGGTAAAGAGAGATGAAAAAACCGATTTGTACCTTCCTTAAAAGTTGTCCTAAGCTCTCTATTCTAATATCTATATGCAATCTTCACACTGCCGTACTCTAACGGAACTATCAACTCTATGCTTTCATCTACTCCATCTATCGTATAAAAATTACCACTACAGTCTGTTATTTGAAATTAGCATCTTCAACTATACTGTTTTGAAATTTAAATTAATGGAACAGCTTTTGAAATCAGGCTCAAAGTTTTACCGAACGTTCAACTGTTGTTCAACGTAAATTTTTTTCACAAAAAACATATGATCCAGCCTAAATAGCAGTAAGAAAACAAAAATCAATTAAATTGTGCACGTAAAAACGGTTTGAGGTAAACGTAACATTTGAGAAAAACATACACACTTAATGAATCCAGATAAATGTGGGCGTCTTAGTGGAATACCTATATAAAGAGAGAGAGAACATAACAAAACCAAAATTCAAACATTATGAAAACTCAAAAATGAAGGAAAAAAACCTTCATAATTCACTTATGCGTTGCATGTTATGTGGACCGTACACGATTGCTTTTATTGACAATAATCTGACAATACGATCAATATTGACGTCAATACATCGGTATTGACAATATTTTTGTATTCACATAATCAATATTAATGTCAATAATTCCCCTTCGCGTCAATATATTGATACGTGTGGGGTTTGCTTAAGTCATCTCACTTTTCATTATTTGGACATAAGCTATTCATGCGCTACATATTTGAATTTCATAATGCGCATTTTGAAAGTTACGATACGATTTTTTGGAATCTCTCACGCATCACTGATGTATAGATTTGGAAATTATGCATTTAATTTTTCATTCGCTTGGTGTCAAAATTCATAATGTAGGTAATTAAAAGTGTATGTTTCAATTTTCAAAATTCTTAATGCGTCATTATGAACTAAGTTATGCATTATTATGATTTCATTACCAAATCCTTAAGAAATTTGCTTTGCCCAATAAATTTGATTTCATAATGTATCGTATTGAACATCATGAGAATTGCTTGTGGCTTAATTTCAAAAGGTGTTTTAATGAATATCTTATGTGCATTTACCTGCGTGAAGGATTAGAAAGTTCCATTTAATTCCACTACCTTATTTGCTTATCTTTGACAGATATGCGTATTTCTTCTACAATGTGCAGGCTTCTTCAATGTCTTGTACTAATAGTCGACACTGACACTGAAGAAGTCTGCACATTGTAGACAAAATACGCGTATCTGTCAAGGATAAGCAAGAAAGGTAGCGGAATTAAATGGAAATTACAAATCCTTCTCTCTCTCTCTCTCTTTATACACACTACGATTATTTCACAGATTTCTTTGAAATTTTATAGAAATCTCAACAGCTGAACCACAGACAAACAGACGTAACTCTTCATTGTGTACTTTCGTTCACGCATTTAACGGTTGATTTGAATATTATCAGTTCCGCGAACTACTCGCCGCAGCGCTGGCATCGGATCACTTTGACGTTTCTATACATTCTATAGAACTTTTATGCAATATTGTTTGCGAGCTAGCGAGCAAGCTTGTTTTCCGCGAGAAGCCTGAAAGATGTCGCTACTGAGGTCCTATGTTTTGAGATACTATGTTTTCTTGAAAAACTTTTTCAAAGTGTTACGTCTGTTTGTCTGTGGCTGAACCTTCAGTAAAGGGTGATACGGTCAAAATTTGGTCAATATCAACTTGACGTATTTCTTTCAATTTTGCATTTAAAAAACCTGAACACCCCTCATTTTGAAGGTGTGTGTGTGTAGAATGTTGCTCCTATTTTGATTTTGGAATTCACTCTTCAGTTGTCAAAATGCCGTCCAAGCAAGAAGAGCAGCGTATCAAAATTTTGCTCGCGCATTGCGAAAATCCGAGCTACTCGCACGCAAAGTTGGCAAAATCGCTAAAAGTTGCCAAATCAACCGTTACAAATGTAATTAAAGTGTTTGGGGAACGTTTGTCGACAGCCAGGAAGTCTGGATCGGGGGGAAATCGAAAACCGGAAGCCGCTGAGACGACAAAGAGAGTTGCCGGTAGTTTCAAGCGAAACCCTCACCTCTCTCTCCGAGATGCCACAAATAAGCTGGGTGTATCGTCTACAACCGTGCATCGAGCCAAAAAAGAGCCGGACTATCGACTTACAAGAAGGTAGTGACTCCAAATCGCGATGATAAACAAAATACGACGGCCAAAGCGCGATCCCGGAGGCTGTACACGACGATGCTGACGAAGTTTGACTGCGTGGTAATGGACGACGAAACCTACGTCAAAGCCGACTACAAGCAGCTTCCGGGACAGGAGTTTTATACGGCAAAAGGAAGGGGAAAGGTAGCAGATGTTTTCAAGCACATGGAACTGTCAAAGTTCGCAAAGAAATATCTGGTTTGGCAAGCCATCTGTACCTGTGGCTTGAAAAGCAGCATTTTCATAGCTTCCGGGACTGTCAACCAAGAAATTTACGTGAAAGAGTGTTTGAATAAACGTCTGCTGCCTTTCCTGAAGAAACATGGTTGTTCCGTACTGTTTTGGCCGGATTTGGCATCTTGCCATTATGATAAAAAGGCCATGGAGTGGTACGCCGCCAACAACGTGCAGGTGGTTCCCAAGGACAAGAACCCTCCCAACACGCCAGAGCTCCGCCCAATTAAGAAATACTGGGCTATTGTCAAGCGGAACCTAAAGAAGACCAAAAAAACTGCTAAGGGCGAGCAGCAGTTCAAGGCAAACTGGCTTTCTGCGGCGAAGAAGGTGGACAAGGTGGCTGTACAAAATCTGATGGCAGGGGTCAAGCGTAAGGCCCGGCAATTCGGATTTAGAAGAGCGGAAGCCTAACTGAATATTTTTCCTGAATTTTATACTAATTGAACTTGAAAAAGAAATTTAATTTGATTTTTTAAATAAGCGATTTCACCGATTTACACGCGTTTTCCCTTGACCAAATTTTGACCGTATCACCCTTTAAGCTATTCGGTGATTTTTACAGTTTTGCTGTATTTTTCTTAGAATATCTCCAGAACGCCTACGATGATTGCGATATTGATAATCATAAAATAATATGCAAATCGGAGAAGGTAGAGTTTTCCGATTTGTCATTTGGCGTGGAACTGCTCACCTGGAAAAATGGCTATAATTGACTCCATCCGCAAAAATCCACAATATATTTTAGCATCTCCTAAAACTCGCTGGTAGAAAGCCGCCTCAAAACTGCGGGTAAAAAGTCGTTTCAAAACTCAAAATGGTCCATTAACTTTTACAATTAAAAAACGAACAGGTGCAAACAGGAAGCGTAGATTGTGTCAGAAAAAAAAACAGCTTATCATTATTTTCCAAAATTGTACCCTGCCCTGCAACTTTTATTCCTTATCAATGAAACCGTCGGGGCGATGCATCGAAACTGGGACTGCTCCACCCAAAGTAAACAAATTCTTCCGGAGTCTCGTACACTGATAGCAGAAAACGTGCGGTGCCACGCTAGTACGGACGATGGTTCCTTGGAAGGTAAACAACGTATACATTTTGCCAGATACATGAATACTTCGATTGCCTCCGTATTCTTCGAAACTTTCGATGTGCTAATCTATGTGTAATCTATACGTCACCGATCGCAGCTCGATCACACGTGATCGTACCGTGTTTATTTCGGCAGGAATCCGTCGATGATGATGATTGATGAGGAATTTCGTCATTAACCGTTCGCATTTGTTTTGTACCGACTCATGGAGAGTGCAGATTTGCTTTTCTTTCTGTTGGATAAATGTGTGAATGAAGACAGTATACTCTTGTTATTCCGATAATTTAACAGAAGCAAATTCAAAATCAATGTTAATGATCAACATGTGAGAAACTCAACAATTTGCATCGGGTTGTTATTGAGTGTCTAATTCAACGAAATCAGACAAGCCGTATATTTATATTATATACTATAGGGAACTACTATAATGCCTTGTTCAGACTAGAGAAGTATAACATGTTATAATAATTATCGACAAGAAAAATGTCACCAAGAACTAGATAGGCTTATAACATGTTGTAACTGCTCACTCTGGCCACTGGCCAGTGATTAAGGCCATTGATCAATGGTTGGGGACGTTCGAAGATAGCCGAAATTCATCATGATGCAGCAAAATCCATCAATTATCATTGTGGCAAAACCCATCTCTTAATTATGGTTCTCTCTCAAATGGCATTGGTGAGAAAGAGAGCCATAGATCGATTCCGTACGTGATCATTCACTTGAAATTCATTTCAGGCATTCTGCAATCCCGAAGACACTGCGTCTATAAGCCGCAAACTGAAACCGAAATTTGACGACCCGGACGTTGAACGAGTACGCAGGTAAGGCACTGAATTTTCTAATTATCACCAAACCTTCTCTCACCCTCGCACACCATCTGAACTCGTTTAGAGCCCACCGCAACGACCTGGAAAACATTCTGCCCTTTTTCGTGGTGGCATTCCTCTATCTGCTCACCAATCCGGATCCCTGGTTGGCCACGAACCTGATCCGTGCAGCGGTCATCGGTCGAATCGTCCACAGCCTAGTCTACGCAGTGCTGCCCCTACCGCAACCGGCGCGTTTCCTCAGCTTCGGCGTAATGATGTTGGTGACTTTGTTCATGATCTTCAAGTGCATTATTTATTTTATATAATGAAAGTTTTCTGTTTTCATTTGCATTAAACTAGTTTGATTGTGACTAATTGAAAGTTTTCTATGTAAATAAGATTGCTACCAAGTACCGAGTGATGTATCACTTTCGACCTTAATCAGCTGATAGAATGAAGCGTGAATGCACAACGCTGCATCCGCTAGAGAGAAGAAAAGGCAAATTTCCAGCGTAAATTTGGATGAATCATGTAGTAGAAAAAAAACGTTGATTCAAACGTTGCATTATTCACAACCAACTCAATAGGCAAATTAAGCTCGAAATCATTCTGAACAATCCAAGCAAGGAAAATCTAAATAGAATAAGACATTCAACGGGGTACTCAACTTTAATTTTAATATCACCCAAGCTTTTTCGAACTAATAAAAAAAACACACACACTTTGTATGAGCCCTTTCCAAACAACCCTATTAGTCATTGGCATGATTGGACAAGTTCGTACAGATTTGTAACGACTTCAACCACCAGCCACAGCCACCGTTTGCAACGTGCATCGTCTTTTCCTCGTCCCCTAAAATTCATTCGAATACTGATTCATGTGTGCACGTGGTGCGTCATCATTTGCCGCGGTGCGACATCCGACAACCACCTTCTAACCAGCGAGCGAGGTTGTAATGTTTATCCATGTATGGACGAACGCCGACCGGAGGCAAGATCCAAGAAGGCGACTCGAGAGAAGAACCACGTCATGCTTACCGGAATGAAAACAATCCGGTAGCAAGCCGCGCTTTTTTTTTATATATTAGTTCGATGAATCCAAATCGAGTTGAGACGGTGTGTGGACGTGGATGAACACGTTTGAACTAGGTGGTCAATGTTCATTGAGCGAACCGTGGGAAAGAGTGATTGCTTTTGATGGTGTGAGTCGGTCGGTCAGGGTTGGAAGATGTGATGGACAGAATTACGGGAATGGGTTGTACGAATAGAAGACTTTACCTTACTTTCCCCATTAGAATAGCACACTTTTAATCATAGTGCAGCTCATGTGACAGAACTATTTTCTATATTTTTACGTCAAATATTTTCAACAATAACTTTGGTGGGTCATCAATGCAGGGCTACTATCAATACAGGGGGCTAGTTATATAGAGAGGGTGTTCAATATTTAGGAGGCCAGGGCAGTATGTAGAAGTTAAGACAACATCAGTTAGTTCCAGAGAACTTCGTAAAAGTTCGCGGACTTTCGTAAATGTTCTGGGAACGTTGTAAAATTTTAAGAAACTTCGTATATCTTAATGAAACTTCGAAGAACTTTTGGAACCTTTGAAGTAGTTTAGGGAACTGCGCAGAAGTTCAAAAAGCTATCTAGAACTGCATCAAATTGTGTACAAGTCCAACTAACACTGTACAAGCTCAGTGAATTTTGTAAAACTTCTGCAAACTCCGTAAAACTACAGTGAACTTCGTAGAAGTACCAATAATGTTGTAGGAGTACTGCAATTTTTTTTTCAGAGTTCAGATATCTTTGTAAAACTTCATCAAACTTTGTAGAAATTTAACGAACCAGATAGAAATTTTGCGAAATTCGTAGAAATTCGGGGATTTTTCGTTAATTTCAGGGAACTTCGTAAAACTTCAGGAACTTTGTCACACTTAGTATTTTTGCCGAGATTTGCACAGTCAAGTGCTCGACAATTAATTTTACTGTGAACTCAGCAAATATATGGCAAAACATTTTCTGAGACTCAGCAAACAATTCTTAGATCTTAGTAAAACAGATTGCCGAACGCTCGGCTGTGCAAATCTCGGAGATTCGGCAAAAAAATTAAATGCGAGATATTCATGGAACATCGTCGAAATACAGGAAACTTTGTAGAAAATCGGGAAACTTTGTAGAACTTCAGCGTATTTCGTAGAAATTCAGGGAAGTTTGTAAGCATTCACGGAGCATTGTTTTTATGAGTGAAAGCAGAGTTCTTCCAATTAACGTGTGGTTTATTTGAAGGACAGTTTGATAATGGAACAGAAAAATTAAAAGTCAAATAAGCAGGACTACTGAGATGGAATTAAACGATTGCTTCTGGCTTCCAGGTTCCTTCGATATCATCCCCTCTCAATCGTGTAGCCCTAGACTCATCCGTAGTTCTTGAAAGCGTCCAGAGTCCAATGGCTTGGTGAATATGTCAGCTAATTGTTCGCGAGTACCAATAGATTCCACTTGGATGCGTTCTTCGGCAATATGATCCCTGATGAAATGGTGTTTAACATCAAAGTGTTTGCTTCGTTTCGTCTCCAAGTTATTCGCCATTCCAATACAGCCTCTGTCGTCCTCGAATATGGTGACAGGTGTTTTCGGATCCTTGGCCTTCATATCTTCAAGTACTCCAGATAACCACAGGGATTCCGCTGTAGCGGCGCTCAGAGCTACATACTCGGATTCACTTGACGAAATAGCAACTGTAGTTTGCTACCGTTGATCCAAACACCTTAAATACGTATCCCGTGACTGATTTTCGATCTTCATTGTCGGCCGCCCAGTCAGCATCAGCAAATCCAACGAGCGGACGGTCGTCATTGCGTTCGAACTTCAATACAGCACTGGCACTTCCCTTCAGGTAACGAACCATTCGCTTCAAGCACTGCCAGTGTGTTTCTGTTGGTTTTTGCTGGTAGCGCCCCAGATACCCTACTGGAAAACAGATATCCGGCCGAACGCACAGCATAATTATACATTAAACTGACTAGTAGCTCCCTGTAGGGTTCTTCAGTTGGCGTCCCCTCTCGTTGCAATTGCAGTCCCTTCTTCATTGGTGACTTAGCTGGATTGCATTCAGCCAGTCCAAAATGCTCCAAGACTCTAACGAAAGTTGAAGAACTCCTGTTTGCCAATCGTACGCTATCTTCATTCCCAGAAAGTGGCGTGCTTCTCCACAGTCAGTCATGCTGAACACAGTCGAAAGCTTCTCCTTCATACGTGCGATGGATTCCAATTTCCTCCCTGCGATTAGCAAATCGTTCACATAGAGTACGTCTCCTTCTTCGCATCGTGTGTATAGGCAGTAGTCATGGCGGGACCGCTTGAAATCCATTTTGACTAGTTCACTGTTGAATTTTTCATTCCAGCATCGTGAAGATTGCTTCAATCCATACAATGATTTCAGCAACTTGCAGGTCATATTTGCTGGAGAATACTGCCAAATCATTCACTAGGTGATCGCTTGAGCCCGAATCGAGCTTGAATACCACCTTTCCACTTGGTGCCTTTTCAATCTTGCGACTTGCAATGAAACTTACTGCATTCCGTTGATCTGCCGAATTAGCTTTACCGCTTTTCTGCCGACAGTCCTTCTTCAAATGATCACGTTTTCCACAATTGTTACACTTGCCTTGGAACTTCGTAGACTTGCGTTTCTTCTCTCCAGAAAATGCCGCAACCTTGATCTCACCTGAGTCTTCGTGACGTTCGGTTCTCTTCAGCTCTTCCGCCAATAAGTGTTGCTTCACGATCTCCAAACTCAACTCTTCCTCAGGAATGTTTTCCAAGGCCGTCACCAAGGGGTCATACGCATCCGGTAGAGTCTGGAACAGCGAAATGACCAAATCAGCTTCCTCGACCTTCGCCCCAGCGGTTTTCAGCTGCCGAATCAAGTCTTCGAACACCAGCAAGTGCGCTCGAATCACCATCTCTCAACTTAAGACGATTCAACTGCTTTCTCACCAGGTTTTGAGTGCTAATTGACCGCTTCGCAAAGGTGTTCTCGAGCGCCTTCCACATGTCCTTGTCCGTCTTCTTCTGGCAGACGATCGCCAGACATTCATTCGCCAGGAAGCTGACAATATATGACTTGGCCTTCAGGTCTGCCTCTTCAAATTTCACCTTTTCAGCTGCTACTGCCGGTGCTTCTTCAGTTAAAGTGTTCAATACTCCCACGGAATCCAGGAACATCTTGACTCTGAAGCTCCAGTGCTGAAATCCGGAACCACCGTTGAACTCCGGAATACCGCACACAACTTCTCTCGTAGAGGTGCCCATAACCTTTTATGAGTGAAAGCAGAGCTCTTCCAATTAACGTGTGGTTTATTTGAAGGACAGTTTGATAATGGAACAGAAAAATGAAAAGTCAAATAAGTCAAATAACGATTGCTTCTGGCTTCCAGGTTCCTTCGATACCAATTGTAAATATCTGGGAAAACTTCGTAACAGCGAGGATTTTTGTACAATTTATACAATTGTACAACACAACACTTTGGGGAACTTTAAACAAGCTAAACGAACTTTGATTAATTTCAATGAATTTCATAAAAGTTCGGGGACCTTCTTTTAACTTCATGGTACTTCGTTTAAGTTTAATACGTCAGGTGATGAAATAGGTCAGGAAATCTATTGGAGTTCAGGAAACTTCGTAGAACTTCAGGGAACTTTGCAGCAATCAGGGAACTTTATTGGAGGGCAAAAACTTCATAGTAGTTTTGTAAATTTTCAAGCTTAACGAAATATGTATCCGGGAACTTCCTAGTAGTTCGTCAAAGATCTTACTTCTAAAAAGTTAATAGTTGTGTGCAATGCACGACCGCATTGTGGACGCAAGACTAAGAGATTATTTTTGCTGCTCCATTCAATCATATATGAATATCAAAATAAATGGTTTAGAAATTAACTCCAAATTGATTAATTTATTATTCAAACTTTTCAAATTGGGCGGTTATTGAATCAGTCCAAAAGTAAAGTTGCAATTTTTGAAATTATAAAATCTGCCTGCCTCTCACTCCATAGGGAATGGGTTCAATTCCCAGTCGGTGCCATCGGGATTTTCTGAGGCATAAAATCTCTGATCATACCTTCACGTAATTTGGAAAAAAAATTACACTCTCTGAATCTTATATCGCAATGGCGCATCAGGATGTATTGGTAAAATAAACACCGCATAATCAATATTGCATCAACCGAAATCAATAGGCTTATTCAGCATACCACCAATGTAGAGGGCACCACGTGAGGTCGAGAAGAAACGTCAACCAAACCGTATGTTAACATCAGAATGAGGATTTAACACAACGAAAATTAAAGAATTTTCAATTCAACATC